AACATAAGCTGTGTCAAAAGGACACAAGTCTTTAGAAAAAGTCAAGCTTCTAAAGAGATTCCAAGCAATCAAAATGGTGGTAAAGTGAATCATACTTCCTCATTCACTAAATCCCAAACCTTCAGAGGATCTCCCCCAAATTTTATTCTAATAATGCTGGGATTTTCTCCACTGGCATAAATTCTAGATATCAAGAGAAATCCCATTATGGAAACTTAGTACAGTCAACTCTTATTCATTTTTTTTTTTTTACAGATAATCAGAGCTAGTTTGACTTTCAAATATTAACTTTTCAATAATGGATATATCTGACTTTCAGGAGAACTCCTAGTATCCGCACTTACACATAAAAATACCAAATAGAATTTGGTGGAAAATAGAAAACACAGTACATTATTCTTTTACCTAGGACATTTTCGTTATTAGGCCAACTAATGTTCCTTACACAAATTAAGTATCCCATTATTTTAAAGTTACTACAATTTATAATTACAATTTTCTATGAAAAAAATAACACATACACAGAGAAAGGTCTCTGTGTAGCAGTATCACAAGAAAACACCTATTGTTCAAACTTAACATTTTAGAGTAATTTCCTTGTAAAGTTTTCAATTTATCTTCAGAATATTAAAATGGCACTTCCAAGAAGTATACCAGTTAAGATTTCTTATTTCTCTAATGTTCCCTATCAATTTCTTTTCTCAGTAGGCTTTCACAAATGAAAATCACCCATCTTACTAGAAGAAACACCCAGTTATCAAGAACAAAGGCAATTTAACCATAGAGATTACCAAGTCCATGGTGGAAAACAAAGTTTTCATCAGCTCAACTATTCTTTTCTATTTCTTTTAATTTTCCATTTATAACTGTGATTCTAATTTAATTAAGTCCCCCTCCCTCTATCAATATAATAAATTCTAAGCCATATCTTTAAAAAATGAGGAGTGTCCCTTAATCATTGCTTTGCCCCCTCTACTACTGTCTGAAAACCATGTCACAATCCCCCTGGGCTAAAAGCATCGTAGTCATCTAAATAATCAGCAAAAAGCTAAATTTAGTTTGAGGATTTGAGAAGAAGCAGGCCAAGGCCCAACCTCCACAAGCAGGCCCCAGAATGCATCTCATCCCTATATTCATCTGAGACCCCTCCAGTTAAAATTAGCTCAGCTAATCCTCCTTGGCTAGCTGCCATCTACCAAGCAGGAATCACCAAAAAAAAAAGGTCATAAAAAGAGAATTCCAACAAATGGGAAAGTCGATGGGCCTCAAATATTTTTTAAGTGACACAGAGATACTCAAATGGCTTCCCCTGAAATATAAAAAAGTACCTCAACTTAAGAATATTAAGGGACATTTTTATATAATTTAAATAGATAATGGCCTAGTAAAAGCAGTTTAAAAAAAGTCCCTCTACTATCACAGTATAAGCACATAACATGATCCTAGCTGGCTAGATGACAATATTTCCTGCACCATTTATAAATTTCAAATCATGTGTAGAGAGATTATCCCATAGCTCTCAAAACTTTTAAAAAGCAAAATCCCAAACGGCACCCATTATCAGCTGAAGACCCCTAGTACCTCCAACTGTGACAGGGAGTCCCTTCTCACTCAGCTAGTACTCACATTTTTTTAGAATAATTGGGGGCCCTGCAACAACCCCTGGAGTGGAGAAAACTAGCAAATGGAAAGTAATTTCACAGGTGCAGCCAGAAGGTGACCTGAGGGCAGAATACAACAGCTAGGCAATTATATCCTAGATCCAGGAAAGAAGAGTCTTCCTGTAAGAAAGATATTTAAGTGCCTGAGGAACACAGACTCGGGACATGCCCCAAGAAAGTTAAACCTTCGTTTGGCCAAGGAATATATACTGAGAGTGCTCCTATCAACACTAAGCATTTTTATTAATTGAACATTTCTACGGAATGACTTACTGGTCCCAGTGCTTGAGAATGGAGATGCCCAGTTTTCCTACAAAGCACATTGCCTAACTGTGGGAGAAGAGATTCAAGCCAAGTATAGCAACCCCAAATCTTGATCCAGGCAATCAAAAACACGTGCACACAATACACAGGTATAATACCTAGATGTTCTGAATTTCAAGTGCCCACTATAAGAGATGCCCATGAAATCTCAATACAGTGTACTGCACATTGTAAGCACTCAAAAATTGTTTTGTTGACTGGACTGAAAGGAAAACTGTCACCAATTATGTATTCATATCACCATTCAAGCTTCCCCCCTCCTACCCCTGCATTTTTTTTTTTTTTTAATATATCAACTCCCAAGTGCTGGGGGACTAAACACTAAACTTAGAATAGGAAAATAAAGAACTGTCATACCTGCCTTGTTTCTGTTTACTGCTGTTGACATGTGGTTATATTTATGGTGGCAATGCTATCTGTATGGCCACCATCATTTTAAGAAAGAAAAGCAAAACTCACTGGCCATCTGTGACTAGGACATTCATATAATTCACCTCATTTCAGCTTCTCAATAACCCTGTGGCAAAGTATTAGTACCCAATATTTATATAAGTAGAAACTGAGGTTCAGAAAAGTTATTATCTAAGATCACCTGTTAGCAGGACTCAAACCTAAATCCAAACGCTTCTATCTTTATAACATTTATGTAATCTAAGTGGTGTTATAAAAAAACTACAACTGAAAATAAAAATGTAGGCTAACCTACTAAAAAAACATGGAAAATGCTGAGTTTCTCATTTGTCATCCGTGACAAATTCTTTCGGAGCATCCACCATTTCAAGACACTGTATTTCCCCCAGAGATATAACACTATCTTTGCCCACAGGGAACTGACAGTCTTGCTGGAGAAACAAACCATCTGGATAAGGTTTTAATGTGAGAAGCAACAAAAGGTAATAGAAACGACAAGGGTTTTAGACACATATATGAATTTCAATGCTTACCAGCTGTGAACTTTGGACAAGATACTTAAATTTCCTCAGCTGTAAGGTGTAAAAATCTACCTCTTAGGGGTTTTATGAAGCTTAAATGAGACATGTGAAAACAGAGGCCTAATATTTGTTCAATCTTTCTTCAATGGCACGAGCTAAGTGTCAATGAGTAGAAATATCAGTAAGTGATATAGCAAAGATTAAACAATTTGATCTGGTACAAAAAAAAATTCTAAGACAAAAATCCCAAACCTTACACTTGAAAACTGATCTGTGGAGACAGCTGAATTAGCCAATTAGGTTTATCATTTGTAACAGCAGCAGAGTTAATTAAACATTCAGAGGGCTTACACCTGAAGTACAAAATGTAAACAATGACAAACAGGAACACAATCATGTTAAATTTGGAGGAGAGGGGTATCACCTTTTTGTGCAAAACTGCTAATTTAAAAGGAAAACTACCATTTAAAGTAAAAGTGAATGGCAACTAAATGCAATGTTGGATTCAATCATGGAACAGTAGCGTGAATAACTCTTCAGTTTAGTTAATAGTAATGTACCTATGATAAGGTCTTAGTTTTGACAAATGTGGAACTTTTCTATAAATCTGAAAGTATTCCAAGATAAAAAGCTTATTTTTTTTAAAAAAAAGCAGATGGCAAGGGAAAGGAATATACATAGCAACTCTTAGGTATTGCCACGGTGGATTTTGAATCTCCTGAAGACAGTCATTAACAGCAAAGTCTGTGAAATCAGTCAACACACACCACCTATGCAAGCTATTCTAATGCATAACTACAAGGAACACCTGAAGTGTAATATTCTTAAAGTGATTGTCCATTTTTCCCTAGCATATTCTTGCCAAAAGCAGCTTTCTGCTAATTTTGTTGCTGTTACAAAACCAGAAAATTAAGTTACCTCGCTTTTCCATTCTTGACTAAGACATTTTTTCAATCAGAATATAAAAAGTCTCACCACATACAAGTTATAACATGAATTTGAAAGTCTAATGACAAGTGACATTTCTGAGCGTAGTGCTAAAGGAGGCAGGCGTAAGTGTCCCGTCTGTTTCCATAATAAGACAGGCAGCCAAATACTCTTAATCTATTATACAAAACTCAAAGAAGAGTTAATAAAATGATATAAAACTTACTAGGGCATTTTTATTCCTAAGATCAAATAATGGCCATAACTGACCTTTTTTTTTTTTTAAGTACCTCTGTTCAGAGACACATTAAGTGGTTGTGAACTTTCACTAGCTGTGTTCATCAAGACAGCTGAAGCTTTTACACTCGGGTCTGCAAGAGAAGGGTTTACTTGCATACAAGAAGGCAAATCCTATGCTAAAAACTAGTGAGTGACAGGTTTAAGGCAGACCAATTTCAGTGTGTACAACCAACACACACAGACATACAAGCGATCTTAATGCTTAACTCAGTTCAGAGGCATTCGCTAACTCTTTAATAGACATGTAAAATTTAGAGGGCAATTTTCAAGTTTCAAAGAAACCTTAATAATCTTTCCAGATTTCAAAGAAGGAAAAAATAAGCAGCAATGCAGCAAAGTCATTTCTCTTGCTGAAATGACCTCCAGCTTCTACAGACTACTCCCGGTTTCGCAATAACTGAATCTGAGACTCCAACCACGTACACACAAACGGAGCAGAAGCAGAGAACACTAAAGCTTCCCCAACAGTCCTGGCAAAACCCACCTACCTTCCCTCAGCCCTCCCAGTTTCCCTTCCCGTTCGCGCACACATGGTTACCTTGACTTCCACCAGTAAAAGAGAACAGGGGTTAATCAGCAGGCAAAATCCTGTTTTATCATCATTTACAGCCACTATCCTAGCGAGCCGGAGTGCTACTAACCTGATTTCAGGGAGGCAGAACTAAACCCGGCAGAACTAAACCCGGCAGAACACAGGGGTATAAATTGCCAACCCAGCAGCTCAAAGCAGCTCAAATGTCAATTTAAGGAAAAGGGTTTCGCAAATAGTGTCTCAAATGAACATTTCCACTTCCAAACCACCCACCTCCCGACTGAAGCAACCCAGGAGAAAAAACAAGGGGGGGGGGTGTCTTACCTTGTACGTATCTCGACATTTTAGGGATTTATTAAAATACTCTGATGTGTGTATATATATATTAATTTCTAGAGGAGCCACGCTATAGGGCAGGTCTTCTGTCTTCCTCCCCTGCTTTAACAACCGACGTGTTCTTTCTCCCCTTCCTATATTTAGTCACTTAAGGGAGTATTTATTCAAAGCTATTAAAACTGCCTCAAAAAACAAAACAAAAAAACCAACAAACAGGAAAACCTCCTCCACTTCCAAAAAGACAGGAACTTAGTGTGAGTCCGCTTGGAACTCCTATCTACACTGCGCTCCTGACACAAACCGGGGCCAACTGGAGACTCCCGGAAAAGGTAAAATCACACGAACTTAAATTTCATCAATGAAAGAGGAGGATCTACGACGGCTATTTCACCGCCCCCCGGGTCCCCACGCCCTCCTGGGCTGGACCGTAGCAGACGCTGGCCGGCCGCACCCGGCCCCCCCATCCCCTCCCCCTCACTGCCGTCCAGCCTCCGGCCAGTTCCCCGGGAAACCCCGGTCAACAGCTGCCAGCGCCCAACCAGGGTCCGGGAGGCGGGTGAGGCCGCAAAGAGAGGCAACGCAACCATTTTTACCAGCCCATAAACACCCTGGAACTAGGAGGGGGCAAGAATTCCAGGCGCTCGCCGGCGGGCCGGAGCGGCCAGCTCGCCCCCTTCCAGCAGCGAGTGGCGAAATCCTGCCGCGGCTTGTTCTCGGGAGGGGCCGAAGGCCACATCGCCCCTCCCCCGCAGCAAACACTAAGGGTCCATCCGCGAGGGGAGAAACTGCATGCCGCCCTGAGCCCGATGACAGGAGTGCGGGAGGGCCCCGAACCCCAAATTCGCCCTCCCAGGCCACACGGCGGGTCGCGGAGAGGAGCTTTACACGTCTCCCAGAGGGAAACACACCCGCCTGAGGGGTCTTGGGACGTCCGTCCCCGCCTCTCCAAACCGCCACCTAGACCCACCTTCTGCTTCTTTTAGCAGCTGGGAAATTGGGGGCGTTTATGGCGCCCCGGGAAGAAGGCTCGCAGGCTGAGAGAATGTCACCTCTGAGGCACCTTTCTCTCTCCCCTTCTCCCCTCACACATGCACAACTTGAACTCCTCGCCAGCGGTCACAGCCCAGCTGCTGACCCCCTGCGCCCACCTGGCTGCCGGCTTGTGACACCCCGAGCCCCCACTTCCTCCCAAACACCTCCCCTCCCCCTCCATTTGGAGCAGCCCCGCTCAATGCGGAAATGTCCCCGCAGCTCATACGGACAGGAACAACTACCAGTCAGGAGCCGAGGCGGACGCAGGGCCTGACCAATGAGACGCGCGTAGGTGGCAGGGGGCGGGGCGTCTGCGGCCCGAGGGAGCCCCGCGGAGGTGGGCGCCGAGCTGGACCCTGGGATCAGCTTGTGGGAGCCGCGTCTGTCGCGGCGGGGACGAGTAAAATTCCTAGCCTCTGCAGATACTTCAGCAAGGGAGAGAACCTGAAGCATGAGTGGTTATTTTTGTAGTCCATAAAAATGTTCCGGTTTACCAGGCATTGAAGATAGATACCTAAGCGGCCGGTAGAGCCAGAACGCCCCAGGGCAACTACCTGAGCGAGCCCAGGCCCTTCTCAGTAGATACAAACTCTACTCACTACTTCTGGTCTAGGGAGGGTGAAGGTGCGTCAAGGACTAAGCAGTGGGATGTGTGAGGCCCACAAACAGAAGGAGGGATTTAGGGCGTCACAAGGCTCCGCCACTAGAACCACCATGCCCCAGTACCTATTTCTGTAGAGATTTCTGCTGTGATAGGCATTTACTTTTCTTTCTTTCTTTTTTTTTTTTTTTAAGATTTTATTTATTTATTTGAGAGAGAGAGAATGAGACACAGAGAGCATGAGAGGGAGGAGGGTCAGAGGGAGAAGCAGACTCCCCGCCGAGCAGGGAGCCCGATGCGGGACTCGATCCCGGGACTCCAGGATCATGACCTGAGCCGAAGGCAGTCGCTTAACCAACTGAGCCACCCAGGCGCCCTAGGCATTTACTTTTCTGATCAAAGTGGAAATTAATGTTACCCCTCGAGATGCTTACCTTTAGTATTCTTGATGTCCACAAGGAAGGAGGATGTTAAAAGAACATTGGCAGTGGCGTGGGAACCGGATCGGCGAGAGGGCCAGCCCAGCGCCCGCTAAATCACACCTGGTATTGCCAACACCTGTAAGACTCAAAGGCGTATCTCAGACTTCCCTTCATGACTCAGTCAGCCTGCGTCAGGACAGATGAATGGCAGCGCTCTCTTAGGGGCCTCCAATAAACCAAGTAATTCTAGGATTTTGAGGCTTTGGACAACACTAATCAACAAAGGTAAAGTGAGAATTTTTTAATGATTCATCTCTAAACAAACTTTATTTAGTGCCACATATTCATATGGAAATGTTACTAGATAAATAACACCGAAAAGGCCAGTGATTTGTCATGCTAGAGAGCAACAGTCCTTGGTAATACATTTCTTACGTGAAATCCGAAAAGACTGACCTCTCAGCTATAAAACTAATTTCCCCAAATAAAACCAAAGAAATGTCTAAAACCCAGATATCTACATTTTAATAACAGCACTTGGAGACACAGTCTGAATCAGAATCTCCGCCTCCTTTGTGTGATATAGAGAAATTATAGCAGCACTAAATAGTATTTATCAATCAGTGTTAACACCAAAATAAGATGCCACCAAAACATTTGGGCCCATTAGGTTGCTTAGCCTGCAAAAGATAAAGGGCAATGAAGAGTAATTTATAAAAGGTTTTTTGTAAGTAGGATGATCTGTTATTTTCTACCTTTATAGACGGTTAAGAGAGAGGAAGTGAGTTTTAATTGCAGCAAGAGCATTTGGTAATACCTAAGAATGACATCTTGATTTATGAGTGATTAAATATTGAGATATAGTACCAAAGGACGTTGTACATTTGCTGCCTCAAGAAATCTCCAAAAAGGAACTACCTGTCTTCAACAATTAAGTCCATAATCACCCAGAGACTGGCTCTTAGAGAAGTAGCACTCTAGAAGCTATATTTCCAAGTATTATTTTCAAATAGTGCCCTGTAAAATGGAATTTCCTTATACAGTGATTTAAACTTAAGTTTCGGGGCACCTGGGTGGCTCAGATGGTTAAGCATCTGCCTTCGGCTCAGGTCATGATCCCGGGGTCCTGGGATCGGGTCCCTCATCGGGCTCCCTGCTCCTTGGGGAGCCTGCTTCTCCCTCTGCCTCTCTTGCTCTCTCTCTCTCATAAATAAATAAATAAAATCTTTAAAAAAATAAAACTTATGTTTCGAGCTCCCAAACATTTTGTAAAAGAGCCTCCCACTTCCTCTAGAGCCACTAGAAATAACCTCACTTGGCAGATAACGTGGGGATAGGAAAGGGAGATCGTGGCAGTGGACCACTGGTGTATGTGTGTGTGTATGCGTATTTAATCCTTTTTTTTCATGATACACTACTGTGGAATTTCCCTTCAAGGTGCATGATGTTGATATATCTATCATTAGAAATCTGTAACATGGATAGATAGATTTACAGATTAAACAAACCTTTGTAGAAACTTGGGGCATTCTAAAGGAGGATGAAGATGGGGTCCTGGGAAGGAGTGTGTATGCAGGGGTAATTTGGAATGAGATGGCTTTTTAGATTTAGTGCTTGGCACAGTGCCTGGTACATAGCAAGCGTTCAGAAAGTATATACTGAATGACCGACCAGTTTAGTGCCACCAATAAATAAGATTTTAAAATTTAAGGGGCATCTGGGTGGCTCAGTCAGTTAAGCGTTTGCCTTTGGCTCCGGTCATGATCCTGGAGTCCCAGGATCAAGCCCTGCATCGGGCTCCCTGCTCAGCAGGGAGTCTGCTTCTACCTCTTCCTCTCCCTCTCCCTCTACCCCTAACCCCACCCCTGCTCATGTTTCTCTTGTGCTCTCTCTCTCAAATAAATAAATAAATAAAATCTTAAAAAAAATAGTTTTCTAAAATTTAATTTCTATTTAGAGGTAAAGAATTTTTAAGTTTTAGTTATTTCTACCTAGAATGTGCACTTAGGCCAAAGTGTAAGAATAATAGCAGCAAATGCAATGTCCTGATGACTTTACAGTAAGTTTTGCTAACTCCCAACATGAGCATTATCCAATAAGAGGTGGTTTAGAAATTGCTAAAGTATGAAATAAGTGTACAGACCAGAAATGTGTGTGGTCTTTTTTTTTTTTTGTCTATCTTACTTCCATCCCCTACACACAAGAAAATAAAGCAAGGCAATTTTGGAGAACATGTCAGAGACATAAAAATTTCTATGTCCTGCCCCGAGTGTTTAGCCAAGAAACCAGGCAGCAATTATACACTAGACTGTTGCACACATTCAATATTGGCTCCCATCTGTATTTATCTAAATCCTAGGCCACCCACATGAAAAAGGAAAAAGAGGCCACTGTTAGAAATTGCCAGTTACTGCCTAGATCTAACAATAGGACATTTTTTAGTCAAAAGATAACCAAACAGGGTTAACTGGAAAAAGATATCAAATAATATCTGGGAGACAAACTACTAATAATGAATGAGTAGTCTAAAAAAATGAATGGTGTTTCCAATTACTTGAGGAAGAGAAAGACTTCATTCTTTCCTATTGCCAACACCCTGTTGTTAATGAATCAGGAAGTTTGTTGAAACAAGTTGTGAATTTAAATTATGACATATCCTTCTATTTATTCATAGTATGATTTTTAAATTACATTTGCAGGTTATTTAACTTTTATATCACAACAGTAGCAATTATTTCAAATAACTAAGATGCTTTAAAAAAGTGTTATCTCACATTACAGATAATTAAGAGTTGATAAATCTTCTAAGTAGTTTTAAAAGTCATCAGGCTCAGAAGAATGCAGTTTAACTGCAACATGCATTATTTTGTTCTCATTTATCAATAATTCCCCTCTAGATTCTCCTTTGAAAGTTGCATAGAGGGCCAGTCCTTACTATGTTGTCTCCTGCTTCTCCTGTTCTGCATGTTGCCCAGAGGAGAGTGTTGGTGAGAAGCGGTGATGCCCATGAAATTGTTGTATCTCACTCATGTGCCAAACTGCATCTCCACATCCCCCCCTGATGATAGAGGCAGAGGAGTCATTTCCTTTATGAGTAGGTAGCCATAAAAGAAAAAAACCTATATTCTCTCAGGGTTTTTAATAAACATAGATCATTATGTAATCATAATTCAGGAATATAAAAGACTCACTAAAAAATAATACATCGCTTCTAAATTCATAAGATAAACATTCTGCTTTTCTGTGGTGATATATGTATGGATGATGAGGCTACTTATTGACTTTGAAATCCTCATAGAGAAGAGCTGTGAAATAGAAAAGTATTCAGTTTAATC